AAAGAAAGATGCCAACTGATCCAAGAAGTCTGTGCGGGCGTAGAAGAAATGTTACTGTAAAATGGTCGGTCTAAGTCAGCAGGGAGCCTGGACAAAATGGGAGAATATAGAAAAGAAAATTATATGATTAGATTGCTGGTGGTCGGATTTTAGCGAGATTTGATTTCTCATCAAATCAGTGTATGATGTCCTACCAAGCCCAATGAACCTGCATATATGGGGTAAGAGTGAGACCCCCAAATGTCAACTATGTGCAAGGAAAGGATCTTAACAACACATCCTCAGTAGTTGCCCAAAAGCTTTGGGTGATGGTCGGTACTGTTGCCGTCACGACCAAGCACTCAAAGCAATTGCAAACGAGGTGACTAAAGCTATAAGGACTAGTAAGCATCAATCAGGGAAGAAATTGAATCAGATTAACTTTGTAAAACCTGGAGAGAAGATACAGAAACAGAGGAAAGAGAGAAGAGCCTGTTATCTTCCGCAGACGATTCGCAGTTGATAGTGACATATAGCCGTAACATCGCTAAGACCGGATCTGATATTGCACTCTGACAATACAAAGCAGTGCATTATTTGGGAACTATCTGTGTCATGGGAGGAATATATTACACTAGCTAATGAGAGAAAGAGGTCCAAATACCAAGAACTGGTTGAACAATGTCATGGAAGATATACTATGACCCTGTAGAAGTTGGTTGCAGAGGCTTTGCTGGACAATTGTTGTGCAGAGCCCTAGCAAAAATAAGCATAGTGGGGGGCAGTTAGGGCGAGAGTGCTGAAGGACATTACCAACGCAGTTCTAACTGCGTCAAAATGGATTTGGCTTAAGAGATCAGAGCCATGGAAGAAATAGTGAGGACATTAAGGGAAAGCTCAGAATCATAATTAGGAGATGTGTCATATGTTATAAGGGAATATTAAGACAATATATTAAGTTAGGGTGTCGAACTGTTATGGATAGGGGTTGAGAATCATTGTTATATGTGGTTGGGGGTGAATAGGAGTTTTTTTTTTTTGGTTTTTTGGTTATTGATTGCCATTATTATTTTTATTTATTTATTTTTTGTTAGCATATGCTTGCTATTTCAATATGTGAGCATAATTGCATATTTATTATGAATGGAATGGGGGAGAAAGATATAGTGTCGTAGTAATAATAGTCTGGAAATTTAAGGAGTTGATGCTAGTACTAATTGAGTAGATTTATTTTGAGAAATATGTATTGTAAATATGAGTATAGGTTACTTAATTGAGTAGATAGCATAATTATTTATCTATGTATTTATTGTTATTAGGCCATCAAATTATTTTAGTTGGTAAATGACAAAACGTGTGTACAATTTTTTTTTTTTTAACTTGATAGTTAGAGTAGTGAATTTCTTTTGAGAAAGTGCTAGTATAGGATAGTTTTGAGTTGGGTATGAGTGTTGGGTTTAGTTAAAGATTTAGTATCGCTATGGGATTAGTATTTAAAAAGGTAAAACATGGACTTAAACAATGCAATAAAGATACCAGCTCGCCTTGGTATGGATTTCGGAAGTAGTAAACCGGATGGAGTAAAAAAGACACCACTATATAGAAGAGGAGTGTAAAAAGCCGTTTTCATTGGCTGATGCTGACTGACATATGTCAATAGGAACGGTCGTATTCCGGCCTTGCTAGTTTATGATTATTGTTTTTTGCAATGTCGTAGTGCATAGCACGACACTTTCAAGGAGGCGGCGTGACTCGTCTAGAATTAGGTTGGGGTTGCTGTTGGAGCCAATATGATGCAAAACACGAAATCAGCGATGAGAACAGTGCATCACTGAAGACCACCCTTGACGCATCTAAAATGTATGATTTAACTGAAAATATAATATTTATAGTGATTAAATATTTCAATATTTGTTTTGAAAATGAAATTACCTCCAGCTAGTCATGAATCCACAACGAATATCATATTTATTATGTAAACAAATGCGAACTGTTGGTGGGAGTTAAATTTATTGTCTGTGTTCTGTTCAGTTTTATTACTGCAATTGGTAATGTTTTTAATGTTTCTTTTTAATAGCATCTGAATTTCTAAGTGAAGAGTGACACTATCAACTGAATCTTTAATCTTACTGTAGGTTTATCCAATTTAAATCGGTATTTTGAAATAAATACACATGAAGGGTTAGAATAAAAAAGAAAAGTAAATCTTGAATTATTTATTTATTCTTTACTCCATTGACAAAGATGTGGTTATTTTATCACATTTATCTCCTTTACTATAATCCGTGGCCCACATAAAGGATACTCTACTAATTTGCTTATTTAACAGCCAAAATTGCAGTTTTTATAATTTAGAAATTACAGTATTTAAAATAAGAATATTATTTACTGCATACATTTGAAATAATTTCAATATTATTGACAAACTTTAAGTTTGTGCAGTACTAAGCTATTATTTTAAAAATTATAGCAAATATTCAATATTCTTGGTGCATGAGAAAATTGCACGGGAACAAATTCTCTCTAAAACAATATGGCAGCTCATTAACAGTTGTAGACAGGAAACTTGCTTTCAGAATTTCATAAGATTTTGCTTTTAAAGGTGAAATGTTACCCAAAACGTTTTAGAGGCATTATCAAAACTGCTTTATCTCTTTTTTACTGTTAACTGTAGTTTAAATGTACCAGTAATTTTTCAGATTCTGCATCATCAATTTTGAAAAACAGTTATTTTTCCTACTACATCAACCCTAAAATGGCTAGTGCTCTTCCAGTTAAGAAAAAAGAGAAATTGAATGAAGGACAAATGTTTCAAGCAAAGTGAGAATTATGGTAAACATGGAGGCCCAATGCGTGTTTCAAAATATCAAGGAATTGAGGGCTAACCTTGACACAGCAACAGACCCGTTTTACAAAAATTCAGAAACAGAATGTTGTTTCCCTTACTGCAGGCTATGAAGTCAGCCAAATGATAGGCATGAGTGGAAACTCTTACAGTGAAGGTTTTGTAAGCATTGCCTTGTAAAAACAGCAGAAATTGTATGTCCAGAGAAAGCATACTTCAAAGAACACTTGCGCTGTATGGATTGATGAAATGTCAGGTGATTTGAAACAGTTGAAGGTTGTATCCTCAAGGTTTGAACATTTTTCTATTGCTATTGATAAAACCATTGACATCAGTGGAATAGCACAGCTTTCAATCTTCATCAGGGCCTGTAACAGTGAAGAAATGGTCTCCATGCATGACACTACAAGCCAGGACATCTTTGAGAGAGTTGAGCAGGTTCTGCATGAGTATTGTTTTGATTTGAGAAAACTTGTATCTACTGATGGTGCTGCAAATATGGTTGGCAAACCTAATGGTGTTGCTGTCAAGTTGCAAAGAAAACTAGAAAACTTGCATCCAGATTCAACATTTGAACATTTTCATTGTATCATTCATTAGCAAAATTTGTGTTCAAAGATTTTAAAATTAGATCATGTACTTAGCTTTGTTACAAAGACAGTGAACTATACTGGAGGCCATGCTCTCAACCACCATCAGTTCAATCAGTTGTTGGAAGATATAGATAATCAGTTCACCAATGTTCCATTCTACACAGAAGTCTGCTGGTTGTCGTGTCACAAAATGCTGAAGAAAAGATTCTATTTGTTGAAACCAGGAATAATTATGTTTTTGGAAATGACAGATGAGATGAAAGTTGACTCCAAATTCTCTTTTGCTGTGGATATTACTGCACAATTAACTGATCTTAATTTAAAAGTACTAAGTAAAAAACAAACTTATCACTCAGTTATATGATGACATCACAAGTGCTTCATTAGAAAACTAAGCTTATGGAAGTCACAGTTGTCAAATGGAAATTTAGTTCATTTTCCTACGTGCAAAGAGCTGAAAAACACTACCAATACCAAGACTGTTCTTAGCTTTGCTAAGTATGACATCACCTGGAATTGTTGTCAAAGGGATTTAAGAAAAGATTAAGTGATTTCTCATCTTTTGAACATCAGTTTGCATTATTCTCAGCACAATTCACTTTTGATGTTGCCAAAACAGATGAATGCGTGCAGATGAAAATATTAGAAATGCAGTCAGATTCTGCAGAGCAAACTATCTAGAAGTAGGAATACTTGTGTTCTTTTCATATATTCTTGAAAAGTTTAAAAACTTCAGAAAATTTGCCACAAAGATTATGGCAATGTTTGGTTCTCCCTATGTCTGTGAACAGTTATGTTCATTCATGAAATCAATAAAACTTTCTCAGAGAACAATGTTAACTGATCAAGATTTGTCATCTCTGATCAAAATCGGAACTGCACAGACATTTCAACTTAAAATTGTCAGCAAAAAGGGGTGTCTAACTTCAGGACAAAAACTAAAAATGACTGAATAGTGGCAAATAAATGTTCAGTTTTGAACTGTTGTAATTTTTGTACACTATATTTGTTGCAAACTGCAAGTGTATGTTGTTTAAAACTTTATTTTTTTATCAAACTACTTCATTACTTTGTATGCATGAATCCTGCTAAAACATTTGTATGCACATTGTGTGTGTTTCTAAATTTAAGTAACAGATATATTCTACAATAAATTTTATTAAATGTCTCCAATTAGTTGTAATGGGCACAATTGGTTGTGTGTGGCCCTCATGACAACACGTATGTGACCATGTGGCCCTCAGGTGACACTCAGTTTGACATGCCTGTTTTAGAGAGTGGAAACTACCTACAAGAAAAGTAATTATTGTACACAGCAAAGCATTTATGACAAGGAAAAACAGTTGACTGAAAATTTCATGTTTTTGTTGCATATCCCTAAACTACACTTAGTAGTCAATCACTTGTGCCATCATTTTAGATATCCTAGAAAATTGAAGTTTTTATCATGAAGCGGGAATGAAAATTAACTTTCTTTCCAAAAGAAAGTCTGTCACAAAGTTATTGTTTATTATTCATTCGCTTCAACCTTTTTGTTAAATTTTTCATTTTTCTTGTTTCTGCAGACCTTTAAAAGCAGCACAATGAAACACTGGGGGGATCTGCCAGCTGTGGCTGATACAGATTCTGCTTTTGCTAAGATGGAGCGTGAGCAGTTAACCAAACTCCGTCCAATGGAGGTTCAAGGTCCTCGTCTTTATCAAACCTGCAGCAAACAATATTCAATCACAACCAAGTAAGTAATTTTACTCTGTTGCATCCAATCCTGCCAGAAACTTTGAAACTTTTTTTTTTTTTTTTTTTTATACATGTCATTATTCAATTATTTTATTGCAAAAGGCTTGTTTTAGAGTTGCACAGAGTCCTTTGATTTTTCACAATCATCAAATGCCATGATTGAAATTCATTGGTTTATGGCCACTTGTAAACTCGCTTGGTATCACATATCTACTTCAATGAATTGAAAAATAGGAATGCTTTTGATAATTGAATTTGGTACAGTGTTTATTGTTGTAGACTGTTGAGAGGTTTCACTTTTTAACTTTGGCTGCTAGTGGAGTTTTATATTTCTTTAAAATTCCTTTGTATAAGGCCGTGGTTATAAATCCCAGGCTTGAAATCTCTGCTCAGCATATCATAATTCCCTTTTCCTAAAAGTTGTATAAAAAATTATGACAAAAACAATTTTATAAAATGTCAACTGAAAGTCACTTTGTTTATTTGGTTGTTTTTGTTAGTGCTAAGATGTTAATGTGAAGGCATGTTAGAAAGAAAAAAAAAACAAAGAAATGAATATTTTTTTTTATTTTGTAGACCATCTCCTCCAGAAAAGTTCCAGGTTGATCCAATTACTCTTCATACCATCAGACTTATTCAGCATTCTCGCAAAATGAAAAACATTATCCAACAAGTGACATTACAGCATGAAAATGCTGTAAGTATCTAATGCTTGTATCAGTTGTGATGCAATGTATTAAACAAAATTCCAATGGTTTTCATATTTTCTGTACTTGCACGCTTAGTTTATGTTTGTATAAATATTATTCATGCATGAAAGAACAATGCCTAAAGATAAATTTGTTTCAGACCATATATTACAATCATGAAAAATTGGTCAAATTAACTTTTAACAGAATTAACTGCAATGCAAAAAAAAAAATATTGATCAAAGAATTCAAATGTGGATTTTCGTATAGATATGAAAATGTGTTCATTACTATTGTATATAAATTGTGCAAAAAGTGAGTTTCATACTTGGTAGTATATGACTTGAGATTTCAGAAAAATCATTCTAATCTCTGGATTTACACTTAGCTTGCTTTCATACCAATAATAGAAAAGAGAAATTGATACATTCGCACAACTACCAGGATTATTATACTAATGATATATTAATGATGTGATAATTGTTGCAGATTGTGCAACTCTGACATTGGAACAATATTCAGATCTTTGTATACATCATATGAGATTCTAGCATTAATACCAAATTGCAAACTTGTCATCTCATCAATGATGGAAAAATCTGATTTTAGAGAAAGTTTTTCTGATTAGTAAAAATAACCTTAGTAAAATTTACTATTTAGAAATTTATATTTGCTATCATTTTGCATTTCACTGCAATTTGAGGTACATTGGGTTAAATGATTTGAATTTTTTTTTTTTTTCTAAAAGAAACCTGATACAGAAATAACATTTCCAACTACATTGCCTATGCCTGAATATACCGGTCCAGGAATCAAACCTCAAGTGCAACAGCCTTTTTTTCAGTTGTTAAGAGACAGAGACAGAGACAGGTTAGTAAAAATATTTTTGGTCAGCAATTTTATCTATTATTTATTATTTAATTCTTTTTACTCTTATGCTGTTGACTTGTCACTGATTTAATTTATTCTCCATCAAATAACTTGTTGATAATTTTGTTTAGATTGAAATTGAATTACAATGTATCAATAAATTTTATAACCACTCTCATTCAAATGAATTTATTCAAATATTTGATTTAAAAAAAAATTACGTATATAATTTATTTCTCTTTAATAATTAGTTAAAATTATTTTTTCTTTTTTTAATCTCTTAACATTGGGTAATACTCACGAAGAACATTAGTTGCAATCAATTAAACTTAAAAACTATGACGAAATAACTTTCAATTAAAGATAAACCATAATAAAAATTTTCACTAGATTTAACATTGGTCTTTTGTAGCAGATAACTAGGGGAAAACATGATACAGTTTAGGTTTTGTTATTTGTTTCTTGTTTAATACTACTAGAACATATTAAAAAAACAAGTGACTTGCCAATAATTTTATTCTTATATATTTCTTCTTTTTCATCTGAAAGTTTGATCATGCCTCACTTTGTTTAGCTGCATTTGATTTGATTTTCATTCCTTCGTTTCAGTGCAAAAAGATTTCAATATTTATTGAAGTTAAAAATCTTTTTTTATTTTTTTTTGTCTTTGTTTTTCTTTCTATGAATAGTCAACTTTTCATGTAATCTGGAACCCAGACATATTTCTATAACTTGGAGCTATGATTATTTCTTAAGAAATGTAATAATTAATTTTTTTTTTTTTTTTTTTTTTCCTGTGACATTTAATCTTTTGGTTTGCATTGGATTAATTTTTATTTTTATATTTTGCAGTAATTTTTCCCGGGGAATTGGTACACCACCACCTGTGATTGATAATGTTTCTTGCCGGAAACTTTTACGTTGTTCAGTGGCTGCAGTTTGTGCACATATTGGTTTTGATAGTGTGTTTCTTTTTTCTTTCTTTTTTTAAACTGAAAATAATTATAGGATGGACATTGCACTATTTATTTAAGTAAATATATTGTCTATGTATTTTATCAAATTAACACCAGTAATTATTTTTCTTTAAATCTTAAAATAATTACAGCATTTAAAACAATTTATTTGGTTTCTTATTGCTTTTTAAAAGAGCTATTTTATGCATGAATTGTTTTTGTCAGTAAAGTAAAAAAAAGTAAAGACAGAAATTGATTTCATGAAAAAATATTGATAATTCAAAAATACATGTATAAATAAATTGTAAACCGTTTTTCATGTCCTGTCTATAATAGAAAAAATTATAATATAAAAATATAAATGTTTTTGAAAGCATAAATATATTTGGAAAATTTAAATTTAGTAAAAATTTTATTAATAATAAAAAATAATTCAACAAACAATAATTTTGAAAGCATAAATAATTTTTAGAAAATTAAATTAAATAGTTTAGTAAAATTTTTATGATCCCCACCACAGCATGTTTAAAACCATTGTGTATATTTAAAATAATTTGATTTTTGCATTCATTTTTAAAATTTAATATCTAAACTTTTAAAAAATATATTAATTTCAATAAAATGGTAAAAGAATTAAAAAATATTGGAAAAGATGACTCATCTGATTGTTAAAGTTACTGAAAATCCACCCCCCCCTGCAAAAAAAATATCTATGGGGATTTATCCTGTTGTGTTTTTAGTTTTTTTTGTTTTGAATAAATAAATATTAAACCTGTGTATGTATGTATTTGTTTGTGTGTGTATATATATATATATATATATATATATATATATATATATATATATATATATATATTTGGTTGGATAGATGTGAGTTTGTGACCCTGGGTTTCACGTTTTAGCGATCGTCAGACAAACTGATTAATGTTTTAAAAAATTTGGGTTTATGTAGATTGTAAATAAGCAATGAGCATATAATATATAAATAATTATACATACTTATATTTATACACACTTTTCACATATATATATATATATATATATATATATATATATATATATATATATATATAGTTAATTAGTGTAGTTTTTAGTTTTAGCCAGATACACGCACAAACAATTGCCCTTTATATATGTATAGATTTTCTGTTAGTTTCTTCAGACTATCATTTTTATCTTTATCTTTTTATCTGAGCTTGATCATGCACTTTAAGTACTAGTAGGAAATATACAGCTCTCTCACTCATCAAGCAATGATATCTGTAGACATAATATTTCCATCACATTGTCTTCTTGGATGTTGTTTTATTCTGTATCATTATTTTATTTATTGAAATTTTGGTGATCTCTTTAGTAAGAAAAGATTGGGTATATAAGGGATGTTCAAAAAAAATAAAGTACTCAAAAGATGCTTGTTGTAAAGAATTGTACACTCCCTCTGTGAATGCACTACACCAGACTGATGCCTGCTTCCAGCTCACCATACACAGCAATAACAATTTCTGTTGGATCTTGTTACACTTTGTCCATTTATGCTTGGTCACTTTTATGGTGACATCACATACACTTGCACTCAATATTAAGGCTGTTCTGGTTGTTACAAGAAATGCAACATAGCCTCAGTTGCTTTGTGCTTATAGCTTTCACAATGTTCTAATTCTTGTCAATTTATGCCTATCTGTACCTTATTCTTGGGACATAATCACTTCCTGGAGTTGTGAATTTTTTTCTTCATAGAAATGTTTCTTATAGTGAATTGATATCATGGGAGAATGGCTGAGGCTTAACCATGGACTGTAGCAGAATGTGATTACTACAAATTTTCAAATTTTTGTGTGACTAGTTGAATTAAAAATTTTTTGAATATTTATTACAATTTATTTCTATGATTATTATTTTTATTTTTTTAATAAAGATTCCAAAGAATCTTCATTGGAGTTGCTGACAGACATCCTTCATGAATTCTATACATGCATGATGAAACATTTGCGTTCTGCTGTGGATAATCAACTCCTTCAAGGGCACTCAAGATTTCCTGTAAGTTTCCATTGTAAAAGTTTTCTAAGAGAAAAGTGCCTTGTTGGCTGAGGCTTCAGAATATGCAGACTGCACCTCTACTGAGGGGTAACACCCCCCCATGAGCCCACTTGTTTGCTGTGGGTGGCAATCCTTGATACCTGAGGGCTACTTTAGCCTTTACTTGAGCTAGATAGGCAGTCGGAGAGACCCAATCTGATCAACCGGCTGCTTATGACAAGCCCTGGTTCAGTTTTGCAAACATCATTTTGTAAAAATCTGAATCAAAAGGCAGTAGCTGTAGGGTCAGTCATGCTGGAGAGAGACTGACAATTTCTAACTATCCCTGGGTGACTAATTATCTTGAGAATGAAAACCTAGGGATACAAAGCTGGTTACTTCCTCCAGCACGAGTATACTGGTTGTGCAGCTGTGATTTACCAAGAAAAATGGCTTTCTCCCTTAGCAACCCTTGTAGAGCTCTGTGGTGGTTGGTGAGTACAGTCAATGAATCCCACCAAAAATTTATGAATATTGAAAATTAAAAACCCCCAAGTTCAAAAATAGGCCACAAAAAGCTGTCAAGCAACCACACCAGGAGTGAAGTTCTGAAAATGATGATGATATAGAAGCCTTAGCATTCCCAAGATTTATAATCTTGGAATTCCTGGAGAACATTCCAATTACAAACTTATCCCCCTTTGTAATTGAAAAGATCATTTCAGCAAATATAATACCCAAAACAATTAAGAAATGGAACAATTCTTGTTGAGGTTGAACAAAAAAAGTACTCAGACTTTCTATTGAAAATGAAAAAAATTCACACACTGAATAAAAAGAACATACCCACATTAAACCCTGGATTTATCTAAAGGAGTTGTAAGAAGTCTCCCTTTGCACAATAGATGAAATTGAGAGGGAGTTGAAGAATCAAAGAGTAAAGGAGGTGAAAAGAGTGTCAATCAGAAGAAATGACCAAGCTATCCTAATCAATATATATGTTATCACATTTAATGTCCCCAATATCCCTGAAAGGCTCAAAATTGGATATAACATGGAAAGAGTTGAGCCCTATATTCCTAATCCCCTGAGATGCTATGATTGCCAGAAATAAATGAAACCCAAAGTGAATGAATCTCGGGGGGGGGGATAAGTATGAGGCCATACTTCAGGAACTGTTGTCACTTGAACTTTACTGACGAATCCCAATGAAATTATATAGATCACTGGATAGATCTAAATTGGACTATGGTTGTTTCATTTATGGTGTTGCAAAGAAATCTTACCTGAGTGAGCTTGATTCCATCCACCATCAAGTATTGTCTCATCCTTGGAGCCTTTAAAACATCCCCAGTGGAAAACTTGTGTACTGAATCCCATGAGATGCCACTAACATTAAAACGATAAAAATTAGCACTTCAGTATTATACCAAATTACAATCATATCTAAACATACCATCATTCAACTGCATTTTCTATCCACAATATAAATATTTATTCAACCAGAAAAAATACTATCAAATCTTTTGGCCTTTATTTGGAAAATCTCATCAGCGAAACTCAAATAAATCCAACACTACCATCTCAAAAATCCACCCTGGTTAATGAAACCCCCTACAATACTGCTAAACCTTACTAAATATCATAAAACTAAAACCAATTCATCTGATTACATGGAAGAAATCCATAATATTCTACAAGCATGCCCAAATTATAAACATACATACACCGATGGCTTTAAAATCTTGGACAGAGTTGGAGGTTCTGCTATACAATATAACAATGCAGAAATGATTGCCTGACAAAGCAGTGCAGAAACTTCAGCTATACACTTGGCTTTAGATATTATAGTACCTAGTGGGTCAGATGGATTCAACATCTAAGATTTACATAACTGAATAATAAAAACATGGGAAACCCCTTAATAAATTACTAAATAGGATTGATGCTATTTATAGGAAAAAGGATGCTGTAATAGTCTTATGCTGGATACCAAGCTACATTGGCATACAAGGAAATGGAAAAGCTGATCAAATGGCAAAGGAATCGCTGAACATGGCCCTCTCAAATATAAAGGTTTCATACATCAATTTCCAACCCACTAAACAGGATCATTAAAGAAAAATGGCAGCAATTATGGAAAAACTCTCAAAACAACAAATCACACAACATCCAACCAGTCATTAGTGAAAGACAGTGAAGTTACAGAAAGATTAGGAGAGAGATGACTCCATCTAGGATACACATACATAACCCACCAACATCTATGAAAAAATGACAAATTGCCAGTATGTATACCATGCCAAGAATCATACTGTTAAATGCATACTACTAAATTGCCATAACTTTCAGCAAACCCCAAACAAATACTACAAATTTGATAGCATAAAGCACATATTTGAAAATACTGATCCGAAATTAGGCCTTACAGGAAAATATTAAAAAAAAAAACAAAAAAAACTCTTTACCAAACCTGCAACCAATTTTAATCAATTCCCAAGAAAAAAAAAACTCAAAGGAATTTTTCCTCTATATAATACCCTGCTCCCAAAAGCAAATAACTCAGATTATTCACCTGAAAGCCGCCCTCAGTGTTAAATGATCTACCTGGGTTAATGTCAATCTAACATAAACTACAGATACTTAGTGAATCATTAGTTTCAAGTTAGATTATTGTAATTTTTAATTCTAATAATCATTGTTCTCGTGGTTTTTTAATTAAAAAGTTAAAATAGAAAATCTTATTTACATTATTCGGACTATTGTCCTCATATTTATTACAACGTTTCGGCCGTTGTGCGCTGAAGAAGGCTGGAGTGTACAATGGCCGAAATTTAATAAATATGGTAACAATGATGAGGACAATAGTCCGAATAATGTGAATAGTGTACATGATACCTCATTTCAGAAATAGACAGATATAGAAAATCTTGTTATTGTTCTCCTTCCACTTTTCATATCTCCCATAAAAAATATAATTTTTACAGGACTGGAGAGTCCATCATACATAAAATAGGGAGTTACTTTTCAATCACCCTGCAGTAACTGTATTTAGTGTTGGTTGTGTATGGGTTTAGTCCCAGGATCAGGCTGTGGAAGTCATCTACTCTAGTAGAAAAAGCAAGTCGTATCACACAACTGAATTATAATAGAAGATAACCCCTGCTATCATTCGGCATAGATAATCTACTTTTTGTAGACTGAGTGTGTTTAAAATTACCAGATGTCTCCTACACACATCCAAAGAGTGAAAGACACAAAAGGCAAAATGATGTGACTATATCAGTGACGATGACACTTAGTCCAACTACATTGCTATTGAATAATGCCCTGTTGATGGGACACTACATTGAGATTGTTTATTTTTTTTTATGAAAACTAAACAAAAACATGTTTGTATTTTCTTGTCACACTTTTTTTATTCTTTTTCTTCTTTTTTTTTCTTTTTTTTTCAGAAATGTTTTATCATAATGAAGTTGGGGTTAAATGTTTTATCATAATGAAGCTTGGGTTAAATGTTTTATCATAATGAAGCTGGGGTTAAATGTTTTATCATAATGAAGTTGGGGTTAAATGTTTTATCGTAATGAAGCTGGGGTTAAATGTTTTATCGTAATGAAGCTGGGGTTAAATGTTTTATCGTAATGAAGCTGGGGTTAAATGTTTTATCGTAATGAAGCTGGGGTTAAATGTTTTATCATAATGAAGTTGGGGTTAAATGATGATCTTTACTGATGTCTTCTAAAAATACCAAGATAATTTCTTGTGTTCAATATTCTACCTTCTTGATGCGAGTTGGTCTTCTTTGAATTTCTTTATACAAATTAACATTTTTGTTTCTAAATTTTGGAGATTTAACATCTGGTTATTTAACTATACAAATATCTTCTCTGAGTCGCAGCAAATCATCTAGTGTAGGCAAACAAAAAAAATCAATAAAGCTTGTAGTAGACACAATTATTCCTGGCAAAGACTTACTATTTATAATTTGTTTATATTTATTATAAAAGAAGTGCTGATTCTATATCCATCACACTGTTTTCGCGTGATTTTTGCACATGAATATGTAATGGATGTGTATATGTTTGTGTTGTGCATTACATGTGCTTGTGGCATTTGATGTACAAACAAGCACACTCACATACACACAATTTGACAGTTTGAAAGAAAACATTGGAATAATATGTTCACATCCTACTCTGTCTAGACAATCCCTAACCTGGGCTGAACAATAAAGTTGTAAATTTGAAGACAAGAACAAAAAATAAACCCACCCTGTCAGTTGGGGCTGTAGAATATGCTAACTGCACCTCTGCTGGTGGCTGAGCAACTAATGACTATGGAACTAAAAATGCTGTTAGCTGCAACACTCCACTTTGGCCCTTACTTGGACTAGATGGGTGGTCAGAGTGGCCTGATCTGGTCAATCAGCTGATTACACCAAGCCCCATCATATATAATCCACACCAAATCTATAACTAATAGCTCCCATTCTCCTCAGCCTTCCACCAATATCACTAATACTCACTCTCAAATACATGATGGAAAGCAGTGGCTGAGGGTCAGTCAATTTGGAACATATGAAATTGACATGGCTACAAAATCCAAAACAACCCGTAATACTTGGATATCAGGAAAATGGAACATGAGTGCATGAGAACCCCTTCCAAAATGAGTATACTATTTATGTAGCCCTGTCATGGCAAGGAAAATGGGTTTCCCCCTTGCCATGTCCCAATATCAGAATAAAAGGTGAGTAGGCAGTGTAGATGATGAATCAATCTTAAAACTATCCATGGCTCAATTAAAGAAATCATCCAAGAGACCCCATGTCAACTCAGATTCAGACTCTGAGACTGAATACTTTCCACAGTTGTATTGTCCTGGAGGCAACTAATAATGAACTATTAACTGAAACATCACCATTCCTGATATAAAAAGTCCTCTCTTAAAATATCACATTGAAAAATATCAAAAAATTCCGAGATGGAACATTGTTGGTGGAGATTGATAAGAAAAAA